GCCTGAGTCTTTACACCTCTCTTCATTTGTCAATGATTTATGTTGGAAAGCTGATTGGCAGATGTCAGGCAGAGAAAGGAGACAAGATTTGGATCACCCTTTCAGGCTATGCTTCCAGGTTCCCCAGCCTTCATAAAGAAGGCAACAACTGCCTCAGACTGAGGTGCCATCTTCAGGCATCAGCCACAGGAGCCATGGAAGACAGCACAGGCTCTCTACACAGAAGGAGCTCTATCCAGGAACTTCTTCCAGTTCTTTGCTGCAGGGTTGACATGTTGAAACATCCAGCCATGAAACAGTTCCTGAGCCTTGTTCAGATGCAGATCTGAACAAAGTGTCCTCACCTCATTTCAGAGCTCCCCTACCAGATTCAGATCTGGTCAATGTGCTCAGGACAGCAGCAGCACAGAAAAAAGGAGGTAGGACAGTCCCTTTAGAGAGTGTAGTTTAGGCTAACTAGAAGTAATTGGGCATTTTAGAGACAGTGTCTGGAATGAGAAGTTTGATGCTAAATCTTCCCTCTGATTGCTCATCTGCTGACTGACACTAGAGATGTAAAATACCAGTTAATTAGTGAACCAGTTAAACATTAAGTTTAACTAGTCAACTGATTAAATGAGGGTGAGTGGGGGAGGAGTGATCACTAAGGGTGATGCTTAGTGGGTGTCCGGTTAACTGGTTGCCCGTTCACATCCCTACGTGACACCAGAGGTGAGGGAATGCCCCCAATGTTCACGCTAGTTCACCAAGTTGCAGAACACTAACAAGTAAGGTAATTTAATTTGAGGGAAATCATGTAACTTCACACACAGCTGATTCTGCACTGGAGTTCTGGTAGCTGCAGGGGTGGGGAGGACAGTAAAGGCACAGAGAGCTCCTCCCTGCCCATCTTTGCACCATCTTTGGTAAGGCTCCATTAAGAGACTTCCACCAGCTGAGGATCTGGCCAGTTGAATATAGATTTTTGACAGCCTTGTGGTGGTGGTGGTGTGTGTGTGTGTGTGTGTGTGTGTGTGTGTGTGTGTGTGTGTGTGTGTGTGTGTGTTGTTGTTGTTGTTGTTTTTTTAATAGCTGGGGATTTTAGATGATCCCTGAATGTGTAGGCTTGCTCTGTAAATTAGCAATCACTAGCAGCAACTCAGAAGTACATTAAAAGGTGAAATTTTTATTTCTCATCTTCGAGTAAGAGCCCAAGTTAAAAACATTCTCCTTACTCAATCACTGTCCCATTTTTTTTCTTCAGTTTTGTCCTGGAAATAATTAATAGAGCACCTCAAATCCGCACATATCCACTTTATAGCTGTGGGTATCCACCTCCACAGATGTCAATTCAAATATCTGCTACTCATTTTTTTTGGATACGGATGTGGATGTGGATACAAATTTTGTATCTGTGCAGGGCTCTACTAATAGAATGCTGACAAGTACATGGTGGTGACAGTTTGGTGGGATTGTCCTGATGGGTTCCGGCTGACGGCGCGTTGGGGGTCCCCCGTCTCCTGCACTCCGAAATGGCACAAACAGACTCTGCCAGCCAGTAGAATTGAGGGTGGTTTATTGCTCCTCCAGGATACAGCATAGCACAGATGTAATCTGGTTACAGGAACTGGGGCTAAGAGGCCTCAGTGCCCCCTTGAGATGGGGGGGGGATCCCAGCCCCCTCCCCAGTTCCTTCTTCCCTGCTTTCCAGCCAGGAACTAACTCCCCTGTCCAAGCCCTGCCCCCAGCCAGGGCAGCATTCCACCTCCCTTTGTTTCTCCCCATGGTGGGTTGGCTGGAGTCACCTTTGCATAATAAGGTTTTCCCTGCTGGGTCTTGCTCCAGACAGCAGAGGTCACCACAGCCCAGCAAGTACCCCCACTACTCACAGGCTCCATCAATGATGATAACCAGAAGGCTGCTTGCATGTGTGTTCAGTGATGTGGGCTGTATTGGCTTACTCAGCAGTACCCAAGAGAGCCCCCCAAAGACCACAAATAAGATAAGGCTCGAAGGTGGCCAGCTAGGTTTATTGTTAAGTGAAGTACAGGCAGAGTTGTCAGTAGACTCTACTGAATCACTACATGTATATATTTGTAACAATGGCCTCAGCTCAACCAGTAGGAAACTCCCACTGCCCCCTTGCTGGACAAAGACTGTCCCTCCCAGACACCACTTTATATACAGGTACAAACAAATTATACATCACTCCTGACATGTCAGGTTGCCACCCTCTGATGTCAGATTACCACCCTCTGACACTACTTAGATACCACCCATCATCCTGTACCTTGTGGGTTGATTAGATCATCTCTAACCATCATGCTGTCATTTTAGACACTTTCCTGAATCTGTGGGGACTGGGTACCAAGTTCTTTTCTAATGAGCTCGTGGTACTATGTGCTTTCAACTTATAACCATTACCAATTACTGTTCTATATCTGGGCCTATTACCAATTAGTGTTTTCCACTCTCAGGCCTGTTCATGCCAAGTTCTGTGAGTAGGGGCCTGCCTCTTGCTCACAGCTTAGCTTTGCTTTATGTTAGCCAAATATTGTCCATTGTTAGCTAGGCCTCAGGCCTCAAACCAGGCCTGCACTGCATGGGCTTTTGTTTTAGGCCTTCATCTTATTACACATGATGATGAACCTGACAAGCCTACTGGTTTGTTGCAGTTTTTGTAATCCCTGTGTTACTGTCATGGGAAAGTATACCCCCCTCTGTTACATAGTACAGGAGGAAGCAAAATCACAGAGTTTGTGGTAAAGGTCATTGGATGCACTGTAGAGTAGAGTGTTATTCAATGTGTTCATTCCCCATATTGGAGTCAATGGCAGCCCCATTATAACAGCAGTCTGGAATTTCTGTTTCATGTCATTCAAAGATATGGGTGTGTAGAGTCAGGGAACAGTCACACAATGTAGTATAATTGGCACTTATGCTACATTTTAAGTTATTTTTGGCCAGAGAAGCTATAACTTGCCCTGTCGTCAAAGGAGTCTTTTGTATCTAACAGTGGAAGCACTGCAGCAAATAGTCCAGCTACACTGCTAATACTAGAATAACGGGGCTTGGAAGCTCACCAAGGAGTAATAAGTAGGCCTGGAAGATGTTTGGGGCTGGGTTTCCTTATGGACCCTTGGTTTCCACTTGTTGTTTTAGCAGCTGCCACGCCTCCAGTAAAGAAAGAGCTGGTTGATGTTCACAGTCACAGCTTTGGCTACATTTCTAAGATCTCTTGTGAAGAGTGTAAGAAACACCTGTCCAAATTTTCCTTTTTTTTTTTTTGTTACCTCTGGTATGCACAGGAAGATATTTGTTCTTTCATTCGCTGTAGTGCATCAGATTAATTTCATAAAAAGTTTTTTAAAATATTTTAAAATATACACTGAAAGTATCAGTCATTTTTATTTTATAACATTCTAAAAATGACAGTGTAATTGAAATCAAATAAATGGTTGACTTTGTATAGAAGTTATCATTTGCCTGAACTCTGAAAAACATATCAGACTGCACACTTGTTTCGAAATAAGTCCCTGATTCAGCCGCTGCTGGTCAGTTTCAGCAGCAGCTGAATCGGGGATGCCTGCAATAGAGCAACTGGGGTCCTGCCGGGTTGGTCCCGCAGCGCCGAGGGGTGGCGCTACGGCACCAACTCAGCAGCACTGCAGCAGCTGAATGGAGGAAGCCTGTCCAGCTGCCCCCGCACTTG